TTATGCAATAGAACTCAAACTTTAAAAAAAATGAAAAAAATTCTAAGGATACTCCAAAAATCTGATTATTACTTAATGCAATTGAACATTTCTTCACAGTTCTTGATTATAAGGCATATTTCAGCAGAGGCTTCAAGTTAAATTATAGTGTTCTAACTTTAATTAGGTAAAACTTTTCTCTTTGTAATTGTGCCCCAAAATTTATGATGGATATGTTCATGTGATTGTTTTCAGATTTAGGAATTGGTTCATTTTTTCATTTTAGTCTTCCAGGAATGCTTTCATGTCATTTTCATTGTGTTTGCATTTCATTCTTTCCAAATTCTAATACTACTAAATGATTTCCCTTGCTGAGTAGCATCGGGCACTATATCTGGCACATCGGGCACTATAGCTGATGCCTGTTATCAATTATTTTGTGTTGTATACTAATTTATCTTTATAAAATAAAATAACCAATTATAATTTAGCTAATTATGTATTAAGATTGTTTGGATCCATTGCTGCATTGTGGAATACACTTTGTTAGAACAATGCTTTCTAGTTTTGTTCCCATAGGTTTAATATTTTATTTACTTTTAAAATTTAGTTTTGAGAATTTCATGCATGCGTCTAATGTGTTTTGATCAAATTTACCCTCAACTTCCTCTCTTCTCTTTCATCCCCTCAATACATTTCCTTCCTAAATTCATGTGCTGTTTTTACCTACTGAGTCCACTTGGTGCTTGCATAGTCACAGATATAAAGCCATCTACTGGAGCATGGGTAGTTTATCAGGGGCCATTTTCCTGAAAAAACAAAACAAAACAAAACCCCCAAACAGTCTCTCCCTCCCCCAACAGCAATCAGTTCCCAGTTGTTCCCTAACTAAGCAGGGTCTTTTATGAACCCCTTAATCATTCGTGCTTTAAGACTTTATCTTGTGTGGGTCTTGTGCATATGGCCATAGATGCTGTGAGTTCAAGTGTCACTGTCAGGTCCAGAAATCATCATTTTGCAGCAGTCGTACACAACCTCTGGCTCTTACAATCTTTCTTCCCCTTCTTCTGCAGTGATCATTGAGCCTTGAGGGATGTAGTATAGTTGCCCCATTTAGGGCTGAGCACTCCATAGTCTCTTACTCTGTGCACTTTGACCAGTGTTGAGAGATACACTAAACCATGGGTTTAAAGACAAGAACTTGGGAGACAGTTTAATACTATGCCTAGTTAATGGAATAGGATTTCATCTATGACTTTCTTTTTTATTGCTGTGTGTATTGGTTCTTTTAAAAGAGTTTCTGTAGTAATTTTTAGAAACTAAATGAGTATACTAGTTGTTATATGTGCAGCAGGTTTTTAAATTTTATATGCTAAACATTAACTGATCACTTTTAAAGAAAAGATTATTTTTAATTATGTCTATGTGTGTTTCTGCATGTGAGTATGTACACATGAGTTCAGGTGCCTTTGAGGCCAGAGGTATCAGATGCCTCTGGAGTTGGAGTTACAAGTGACTGTGAGCAACCCTAAGTGGGTGCTAGGAACTAAATTATGAACCGTGTTTCCAGCTTCTTGAGTATCATTTTAAATAATTTGTCCCCTAACATATTTTTACTCCACTGTGACACTTATTGTTACATTTTTGGCCTGGTAATATACCGAATACTTTACTTAAGCTGTTTTGATTATTTATTTTCTCTCTAAAATATAAGCTCCCTGCTAGAGTCCCTGTGTCTGTGGTAGTGATGGACTTAGTAAGTATACATATATGACCAAAATTTATCAAATGCTTATCATTTTCCAGGAACCATGTTTAGCATGTTATTTGTATTTGATAATTTTTTCTTCACATTGACACCATGAGGCATGTAGTATTATTGGATTAATTAAACACATGTTCAAAAAAACCTCTGATAATTATTAAAACCCTGTCTCAAGATTTCATCCAGAGAAAGCATCCATGCTAGAATCAAATTGCAGAAGTCTGGCCTGTGTTTGCCTATAGTAGGTATGTTTGTCATGGATGTGGGCAAGGATTTCTATTTGCCTAAACTGAGAGGATTGTAACCATTTATACATATAGTAGGATGCAATGTGGCAGTTTGGCTTCTCTTTTGCTGCAAAGGGAATTATATTGGGACAGTTTTTGAAATGGCAATAAGCTGTGAAAATCAACAAGGTTGTTTATTTAAAATATTTGTGTTATATTCATTTGTGTGTATGAAAAATGCATATGCATTTCCTGTGTTTATAGACCTATATTTAATATATAACTTGTTTAAAGAATATAATAATGGTCAGAGAGATGGCTCAGCAGGAAATGGTACCTGCCATCAAGCCTGATGACCTAGTTTAATCCTTGACTGACAAAACGGAAGGTGAGATCTCTCCAGGTTGTCCCCTGACCTCCAAATGAGCTGTGGATTTTGCACATGCATACACACACACACACACACACACACACACACACACACACAGACACACAGTACACAATAAAAAACAAAAAAAAGATGAAATGTAATGAAAATTTAAAATATTTATATTTAACATAGTTTCAGACTTAGATAAAGTTGCAACAACTTTTCTTGGGTACCTTTCATCTGGACTTCCCATGGAATCACATTACAATGGAAAAAATCATTTTATTAATTCTTTGAGAACTTCATACAATATAATTTGATTATATCCTCCCAACTCCTCCCAGATCCACTTCCACCTCCCTAAACACATGCCTTCATGTTCTTTCCCTCATCAAGACTAGTAGTATTGCCCAAATACTCCTGGGTATGGAGGCTGCCCTGGATTATAGGCTACCTACTAGGTGTCACACTGTTAAAGAAGGCTGACTCTTCTTCTTTCAGTAGCTGTCAAATGCCAATAGCTCCTTAGCTACGGATGGAACTTGGTGACCACCTTCCCACCTCTGTGATGGGATTTTTGTTTGGCTTGCACTTGAGCAGGTCTTGTGCATGCTGTCAGTTGCAGTGAGTTCAGAAGTACAACTGCTCTGCTGTCTGGAAAACACTGCTTCTTGTAGTGAACCATCACTTCTGACTCTTACTATTTTTCTGCCCCCTCTTTCAAGAGGTTCTCTGAGCCTTAGGGAGTCCATTAGAGCTTGGAACTCCACAGTCTCTTATTCTCTGCATGTTGACCAGTTGTGGATCTCTGTCTTAACTGCCTTCTATTGTAAGAAGAATCTTCTCCGATAAGGGTTGAGAGAAGCACTAATCTATGACTATAGTAATAAGTCATTAGGAGTTATTTTAATACTATTTGCACTTAGTAGGATATCAGTAGCAATTCTCCCCTTAGGGCTCATGACTTATCTATTCACAGATTCTTGACCCTGGTAATGGTGCCGCATATAGAGTCCATCTCTTAGAGTGGGCCTTAGATCTAATCAGGGCGTGTTGGTTACCCACATATTTGTGTGTACCAGTGTTGCCTTAGTGGGCATATCTTGCCAGGTCAGTCACTATTGTAGCTCACAAGGTTCACAACTGGGAAAGACTGATGCTTACCTCTGGTAGCTTACATAGCAACTTCTAGCAACATGGAAGCTAGCCAGTAGGGATGAAGCTTCCAGGTCAATATTCACTTGAATTCTCCATGTTCCATGACTCAAGTATGTGTTCTCTTCAGCAAAAGGGTCTTACCCCCAGGTTCTGGAGGGTAACCAAGAGCAAGTACATTTTTTAAATTTAATTTGTTTTTTTAGTTCTCATTGACCAGTTTATTCTAAGAAATAAAGTATATGTCCCAAATGTAAGCTTTACATTGTTTTAAATATTTTCATATGTATTTCC